GAGGCAGCAAGAAAACTCTGGGAATTCATTGTTATTCCCTTTCTCAGGTCCCTAGTTCCCTAACCCATCTGCATTCTTCTCTCCACGTTTCAGGTGGCCAATAATCTTGCATTCACTTCCTACCTATTTCAGTTATGCTTTGCTTAACCTTGCACAAAACAATAGGCTGTCTTTCTCAGTTTCATTATATACAGAAAGGAGGTAATTAAATGTAGCTCACAGATCTTGGTGATGGTGCTGGGAAGGAGTAGTTTCAGGGAAAGGTTTGTTGAAAAAAGTGACATTTAAAATGAAACCTTGAATGAGTAGAAGTTGGTATATTGGTAGTTGAATTTCCAGGTGCAGGCCACCCCAGGCTCAAAGGTTCTGAGCAGGAAGGAGCCTGGGGAAATAAAGATCTAAATGAAGTCTGGAGAAGTTGAATCCAAGTGGACTTGGCAGAAAGGAACCTGGAGTGGCACAAGTGAGTCATAGAAACAAGGCCTATGTCAATGTAAGCCCAGCCATTACAGCACCTGTCCATTGCAGGGCCTTATGTAGTGTCATCTGATTATTAAGCATACAACAGGGAACCTCTGTATAATATATTCCTAACTTAGAAAAATCATCTTCTCATAAGGTATGTTACTATTCACACAAAGTATCATACTAACATTGCCATAGATTTCACTATATGCGCTGATTGTAATCCAATGTATTTGAGACATCAGACATCCCAAAGAAACATGTTGTGAAGTAGAACACCTCAGGGTAATCCAGGAGGCCACACTTTCAATCACTGAAAGCATTGTTAATCTCTGCTCCTATGTCTCATTATATACAAAAAGCAAACAAGTAAAAAAGTTTCCCCACCTTTCTAATAATCTTCCCTGCTTTAATTAATTACTGTGACTGAAATTACATTTAAGCTTCTATCCAAAAAAAATTTGAACACTGGTAATGTTTTACTCATTTTTCCTGCATTTATAATTTACTAGAAAATTTGGGGAAATCTGTTTTAACTCTATATTCTTACTAGTAAAATGAAGATATTTGTACCTATTCAAAAGTTGTTATGAAAATTAAATGAGTTAATATATGTAAAGAACTTAGAAACATGCTAGACCTATAGCAAATGCTATAAAAATGTTACTTATAGTTATTAATTTTCATCCATTTGAATTCCTTCAGATTTTTCCTCCAGTATTTCTCTTAGTTTATTGAAACTTAAGGAGTAAGAATTTTGATAGAACAGAGAGAGGACTATCTCATGTCAGCCATGAGGGCTTGAGAGAGATCATTAGAGTACTACATAAACAAGTTATGCAGAACACATGCAAGGAGGAGCAGGGGAAAATGTGGCTCACTTTCAAAGACAAATTGTGTTCATAAATTATTTTCTGGGGGCCATGCTGAATCCAATACTACACTTAGAATTCTCCTCTGTTTCCTCTGCCCTCAGCACTATTGACTCCTCTGCCACTGGGACTTGGAATTCAGATGAGCAGCATCGTTAACTGCCTTTGTGCCTTATCAGAGTAGCTGGACATTAAGCCATGAAAAGGAATGAAGAACTGATTCACACTAACATAAATGAGCCTTGAATGCATTCTGCTGAGTGAAAGGAGCCAGGCACAAAGACCACATATTATCGTTCCATTTATATGAAATATCCAGAATAGAAAAATCCATAGAGACAGAATGCAGATGTATGGTTGTCAGGAGCTTGGGGAAATGGGAAGGAGGAGAAACTGTTCAATGGGTTAGGGATTTCACTATGCAATGATGGAAATGTTTTGGAACTAGATAGAGGTGGTGGTGGCACAACGTTGAGAGTATACTAAACGTCACTGAACTGTTTACTTTAAAATAGCTAATTTTATGGTATGTGAATTTCACCTCAATAAATTATCATAAAAGAGAGTAGTTGTCGTCTTTTGCAATATTTTCTATAGAAAAGCCTACAGAGTGTTATATGTAATTACCATACAATAGAGTTCTAGGACATAACATGATCATGAAAGTGAAAGTGCTTTATACAAGAGGGAAGACCGATCTGGGACAAGAAGAGATTCGACAGAGTGTTCCTGACAGAGGTGACAATGGCAACACAATCATTTTTTTAGGAATGACATTATTTTGTTCCACATAATCATTTTGAGGGAACTGTTGCAAAGTGAATCTGCAAATCCCATTACTGCACATTCAAAGCCAATTAGAAATGTCCACATAACGTATTTGGGGTTACTTGATGCTGATTCCTTGGTTTCACTTATCTTATTTATCAAATAAAGTCACTAACTTAAGAAGAGAAAAGTTGACATAGTTTCTTTTACCCTGAATATTCTTAGAAAGCTAGCTGGTTACTGCTACATAGCAGAGATCCTTACTGTCTCTGAATGTCATTTTGATTATTTTTATCTTTCAGGGTGCATTTCACAGAATGAATAAATTGAGTTCCTCTGTACAACTCTGTATCTATTTTTCATTATTTACTTTACAATGCCTTAACTTTGAAGTTTTTTATTTTATAATTTCTTTTGGGAAAAATTTTCTCTAAATAAAGAATTTAGTTCTGTAGAGATATGTACTATTCATTAGTTTAAAATTTGACAATGTTGAAAATTTATTGACATACATTATATTACTAGAAGATGCTTTAGAAAATGATAATGTGAAATGAGAAACATCAGACCTAAAAAAAATAAATGAAGAGAAAAACTACGGAGGAATATCAACTCTTGTTTTCTTATTTTGTCAGCTATTACATATATGATTAGCAGTTTCATATAAAAGGAAACTCTCCAACAAATATTTTCTAGGAAAAATAAGCAAGTATGGCAGGACAATAACTAAAATAGTGTAATGTAGTCACTTTAGTAATGTCATCATTTTTAATTATGGACAAAACCTCATGTTTAGTTATTGTTTTTATTAAAATCATTCAAGAATAACACCATTCATTAAGCACCTTCTATGTCCCAGGAATGGTGCTAGATGGTGAATATATGAAGATAAGCAAAATAGACATAGTCTCCGCCTTCAAGAAATTAAAGTTTGATAGAGAAATGGTACATTAAACCATAGCAATAGAGGTGACCAAGTGCTATGAGTTCATGGCAGAAAGAATTCAGCTTTTCTGAAGGAAAGGAAGTAGCAAAAAGCTTCCCATAGTAAAGGACATTTACGCTGCTATCTAAAGGGCTGTTAAGGGTTTGTGTCCCCCCTCTAAAATAGATAGGTTAAAGCCCTAACCCCTAGTACATCAGAATCTTGCCTTATTTGGAAATAGGGACATTGCTGATGCAGCTAGTTGAGTGTGACAGACCCCTAATCCAACTTGACTGAAGTCCTTATAAAATAAGACACACACACAAGGAGAACACCATGTGAAGATTGGAAGTATGCTGCCGAGAGCCAAGGAACTACCAGGCACTGTGAGAGAGTCTTGGAACAGATCCTTTCTCAGTGCCTCAAGAGGGAGCATGGCCCAAATGACAGGACTGGTATCCTCCTGAAAGAGAAGATACCCAAAAAGACTTTCCGAGGAGAATGGATGACAAAAAAGAGAGGGAATAATCGCAAAGGATAACATACTGTACATTTTAATTTCAAAAAAGGAATCTTGCAATGGGGCAGAAAGATCAACAGTTGACCTGGGGGTTGAAGTAGGGGAAGAGGTTGCCCACAGAGTGACACTGGGGAATTTGTGGGTGAGATTGAACTGTTCCATATCTTGATCTTGATGGTGGTACATATTCGCATCCATTTGACAAAACGTACAGATCTGTGTTGTGAAAAGGTTGGATTTTTTTGTGTCCAAAATCTACCTTATCTTAAAAATTAAAAGAGAATATTCTTGAGGTCATGGATCTTTTCAAATATATACATAATTCCACTTCTGATAATATGTAGTTAGCTTTCAAAAATCTATATTTGCTATTCTTGTTCATAAATTTCCCCAAGACACAAGTATCTCTTTATTTTTCTTATATTTTTGCAGGAGTATACTTATAGAAGAATTTAAACCTATACACTTGTACATCAACTAATTATATTTATTTTTGGCATAATAGAAATATAGATATATGTATAGACTAATGTTCATCTAAAATGAATTGTGATTATTTTCTGGTGTGAGATTTAATATGATATCTACTTGGAGTTTTTTTGTGTATCCTTTTTAATTGCTTAAATTACCTATGAAGGGCATGTACTATTTTTTTCAGCAGAATTTCTTTTTCTGAAACAAAAAAAGAAAACATCAAAAATGAAAGGAGATTAAAATGCTCATTTAGCAACTGGAATAATATGAACATCATAATTGTTCTAAAATGATTTCTATGATCACTCATTCTTATGGCATAGTAATCATCTGAAAGACATCTGTAGTGTTGCATGACATAAAGTGATGAGCGGCTTCTCAGTTACAAACCACCAGATAATGAGGCCCTGTCAGTCCAGTCCTCTCAATATAGATCCAACTCAAAGGACCAGGGTGAAGATATCAAAGTTGTCTTGCTTTCAAAAGTTGTAACTCTAGTTGTTTAAGTAATTTGGCAAATAGCATCTTTCTTCAATCTGCAAGGCCTTTTAGAGGTCAGATATCTAATCTTCATAAATATTGATAAGCCAGAACACAACATGTCTCAAGAGGTCTGCACCCAAGGTGGACAGATCAAGTCGGCCTCTGTTCATTGCAGTTAAGTCTCTCACCATCATGCTCTAAATGTATGTAAAACCTACAAAATCAAACCCAAGAAGGAAAACACAAATGTAGTAAAAAGTATTTGTTTTTATTTTTCAGTATGCTTCATTAAAAAAGGTACAGTTTTATTAGTAGTATATTAATGAACTCAAAGAATGAAGTGACAAGTTTTTGCCCCAGATATTAATTTACATTTACCAACATCCACCAAAACAATTAAAAATGAAATAAATATATTTACATTTCATATTTCTGATATTTTAATGGCATTTTAATACGTATAAAATATATAACATTTATAATATTTTACTTATATTGAAAAGCAACTTTAAATATGCAAATAAGTGAATTATGATTTTAAAGTATCAAGGAATAAGAATAAATCATAAACAAGAATTTTAGAGGTCTGAATAAAGCAAATGCTTAAGGAAAGCTCATGAGTATAGCAGTAGTGAGTGGCAAAATGTTTGTTATTAATCTCAAAATACCTACACTTACCTTAATAAGTTAAGTATAAGATTTCCTTGCGCTCTTAAAGCTTCTCCATACTGCTGATTTCTAGCAGTAATTCTAAATAATTTTTAGGATTATTACTCTTCCAAAATAATAAATCAAGCTTTTCTGAAATCCAGCATTCAATGTAGACAAAGTTTATGAACAAGATTTGTCATTGTAAATGAGAGAAATATTCATCTATAAACTAATGCACTCAAAGGAAAATGTCTCTGTTTACATAAGTAATATGGATTTGACATTTATCTTCAAGTAATTCCTTTTTTTCTTGCTGAGTGACAGTTTTGTGAGCAAAAGTTTTAAAACTATAAATTGGGATGTGCCTAAAAAATGGGCAAGAAATGGCCAGCTGATTATTATCCTTTTAAAATAGTGTTGAATGGTAAATGTTGGGGTGCCTATTACACTTACATTATCTATTAAAGTATTTTTGAAATAAATTCTTGTTGCACTATAACAAATTAAAAATGCCACTGCTTTAATAGACTTCAGCTTAAATAAATTGCTATTCTTTATCAGGCAAAATACATTATTATAGTAGTTAGCAAAGATTTCAAATGATGTTTGAACTCCCTTCTCTGACCTAAGTACCTATAATATAATCCCTTTGAGCTTGCACTATGTACACTATAATGAAGCTTTTAAAGTGTGTGTATGTATACATTATAATATGTGTACACACACACATATACATACATACATACATACATACATAGACCAAGGCACTGGAGGGGTTAACACATAATTAAGCGTTCTGCTTTTAAAATGTGCTCTAGTACAAAGTAGAATTTGATGAATAAATCTCATGCATCTAAATGTAAATTACATGAGAAATAGAGATTTATCTGAGTATTTTTGTTCATTTCTAAACTTTCTCATTCAAGTAGTCCAAGTTATAACAAGTGGTAATGGCTAAGCATTGCACTGTAAAAGAAAATGTTAAATACTGATGGCTAACTGATGAAAATGAGAATAATATTTTTCTAATAGGTGACTGCTCCACTAATCATGTTAAGTAGCAAGTTAGGCCTGTTGTTTTTTTATCAATAGTATCAAAAATAAACACAATAATGATATTATCATAAATTTTGATTCAATTACAATTTACAATGTAAATTTAAAGTATTAAGTATATGTATTTGAAATATTTTTCTAATATAATTTTTTTAGCATTTATTATATATATACATATGTATATATATGTGTATATGTGTGCGTGTTGTACAAAGAGATATATACCCATATGTATCTCATTGTACACCTTTTCTTTTATCATACACATGAGCACATAGAAGATTACAATATAACAAAAGGGATATTTAATTATATTGCCTTTTGTATTTTTTAAATGGAGCTTTTACAAAATCTGACTAATTTTTTAATGATTACATTACACTTATGTAAAGTGTTGCCCGTAGACCAGATTATTGCACTGTGGACACATCGATGTTACCCCAATGCAGGGTACACGAGATACAACTCTGGTTAGTAGCAGAGATTCTATAATGAACTGGCTACTACTGCTAAGAATCTTAAAGTAGATACTTAAATCTACTCTTTCTCCATAAGTTCAAAAGTGGCCTACCCACGCCTACTTTTGGTGGGCTTCTAATTTTAGAATATTGTGTTTAACTAATGCATAGCAAAAATCCCACAGTGTTGTCTTAATTTTGGATATGTATTTAGTTTTGTGGTCAGAATAAATTAGATTAAAACTGTATTGTTTCCAATTTGCCATAGTTCTTTTAATAAGATGTCCTAGATTCAACTTAACACTTGCCCAAGTACAATTATGAGTCTTCACTCTTTCTTTTCAAATTAATGTGTTTAATAATTAACCAGGTGTAAAGTGAATTAATAATTTATAATAATTATGGAAATAGTTTGATGTTAATTTCTTAACTTATAATGGTCATGCGTTGTTTCCACAAATAATTTTGTTTCCTTCTTGAGTGACTTTTTTTTCTTTTTAAAAAAAGAAAATCAAACCACTTTATTAGATACTGGATCATTTTCACAAGAAATATCTAATGTTTGATTCAGTTGGGAAAACGTGTGTTAATAAAAAATAATCTTTTCTTTTTTAATAAGCATCTGATTGTTTAAAAGCAGACCTCAGGACAGCTTCAGTGAAGGACAGAGAACGTTTCCACGTTACACAAATAGTTGTGCAATATCTGGATCTAAATCGTGTGCACAAGGTGCTTTCAAATTTCCAGCCTCTTCACATTTATCTTCCTAAGAGACGATACCTAAATAACCCATGTAGTTTGGCATTATGTAATCACTTTCTATGACATGGTAAGATACAAATTTTAAATTTTATTTTCAGATCTCACCTTATTTTCTCAAAAAATATTACAAAATGGACAAATGCCGTTTACCGATAAATAATAGCTTTGAGACTGCTTTCTAGGGACATTTCAGTCCACGATTAACTAGTAGGGTTAGGATTACAAAGAATTGTTTCTCACACCAAATTTGTTGATATAATTTTCTCTATAAAAGTTTTTGGGGGTCACCTAAAATTTATGAAACTTTAGTTTCATAATAAATACCATTAGGTAAAATATAAATCTCCTTAAATGAAGGGAAGAACAAGAGGTTCACAAATGTTTCCATCATTCATAATTAAATTAACAAATTTTGGCATATGTGTTTGACACTGGAAGCTAATAAAACATTTAGTATCCATGATCCAAGGGAGAAATAGCCCATTTCACACATTGTGTCTCATAGGTCAATGTAATTATCCTTTGGCAATTCTTAGGAATATTTTACAATAAAGTAAACAAAATTGAAGTGCCAGTGTCAAATGATGGAATGAGAATACAAGACAAAAATCTACATCAGCAAATTAAACTGCTTTCTTCTTTGATGAGATTTTTTTCATCCTAGTCTCCTTGCTGCCATATTTTTTTTGTCCCCTTTATTTACTCATAATACAATGATAGGGCATTAGTTCATGATCTGGCCCAATATGTATTTGTCATACAAAATAATCTAAAATACAGAAATAACCATTTAATTGCTATTTTTATTTATAGGTAGCTTAAGATTTTTTATATTATTTACATACTTTACATCATTCTTTTCTTTCCATTTTTGATAAAAGCAGTATACTGGTACAAATCAACTGAGTGAGAAGAGGTTGTTTTGTTCATTTAGGATTATTCACAGATGCCTTCCAAAAAATACATGTTTTGGAGATCCCTAATGACTCTTTTTTTCTGCTGAAATTTCAATTTGACTTCACTGTTGACTTGGTGACATCATGGTTTCTTTCAGTGTCTAAAATGATTAATAGATTTATTCTGCTTACATAGTCATGGTAAGTGGCAATGCAAAACTAAGTATGTCAAGTCATATACTTTGCTTTGCTTGTAGTAGTAGAGCTGGCAGTAGCAGAAGCAGTAGCTTGACTGCCTAAAAAGAGAGGGTCCAAACAAGCTACCTTGGCAGCAAAGAATGAATGAATGCAGTGAAGAACAGCAAATAGATTTGAAAATTCCAGCTCCTAAAAAGGAAAGAGAAATGAATCACATGATATAAAAATAAATTCCTTTAAAAAATTGATAATAACTAAATAACTAGATAATAGCTAGACTTTTTTTTCAAGTGAAATAAACTTAGCTAGAATCAATTATATCTAATGTGTGGAAACTGTAGATGTTTTTACTGAATATGTAAATTTCATATGTATTTCAGATTTACTTCAAAACATGGTGGTCTAAGGGCTAGAATGACTAAGCATTTTTATTATCTGTTAAAGTCATTTCAATATTAATGAATACTGTATAGAAATACATTTGGCCAGATTAAAATTTTATTCTTAATAAAGTGCAAGTAAAGAGAAACATGAGAGTAGCTTAAAAAGTATTTTTATTTCCTTATGCACACTTCAAATGATAAATTTGGATTAGAATAATTTTAAAAATATTCTTCACTGTTTTCTAGGATAAGTTATTATCTGTCACAGGAAATTGAATATGAAATACTGAAAGCAAGAGGATATGAATGTTTATGACACTAGGAGCCAAACAGTTCCAGTCCAAAAAATAATCCATGCATTAATTTTAAATTTAATTTATTTTAATTGTTGTAATTAGTTGTTTAAAAAATCAGCTTGAACCCATCAATTGGATTTTTAGAAATATGTATCCCGCTTGGATACTGAAGGAAATTTGTAGCCCACCTACCAGTGGCAGCCAAATGATATTTATTACAATGAAAACAGGAAAGTTCTTTCAAACCACAAATGATGTCAGACTAACTGTAAAATCATGAGGTAATATGAAGGATAGAGTTTTAAAAGCTGTCAGAAATATTTTTACGAAAAACCATCAATAGTCCAATTAAAATATTTTAATTCCAAGAGAATTGAGAGAAGACATACACTTATGTGCTTAACAAAGTCTATATGCAAACTTATCACAAATAGGATAACTAGAGGGTAATAAATCATACAAAATTTCTGACAAAGTTGTTTCCATTTCATTACGTATTTGTAATAAAGGATACAGAATTACCATTGATATGCACATTACTGACTGTTTGCAATGTATACTATATGTGCCAATGGAAAATATTACAAAATATCCATTCAACAAATTCAACCAATAGAAAATATTCTAACATCTGTTATGTGCCAGGGATCTACTTAAATAAAATAATTCACTTTGGAAGTATTTTCTCAGCTCATGCAATAGGCGCACAATACAATACAATATAGATTCACAGTTATGTCAACGTAGATAAAATTGCTATACTGTCTCCATAATTCTTTTCAACTTTTCAGTATTTCATCATCAGTTCCCTATGGCAGATCTTCATTTATTCCAGAGAAGAGCAAAGATTTGATTTAACTATTCTAATTTCCTGAAATATTTCCATCTAAAAGTGATTTTAGTTACTTCATCATAGTTATCTTAGAAGATTTATTGTTAACAATACACTTCATTGGCGCTATGATATATTACTGATCAGCTAGCAGGTTTACTCTTTCCTTAATTAAACCCTCAAATCCTCTGTTCACCTCTTCATTCTTTGTGCAAGCAGCTTATTTCACTTGCAGAGTTTGAGTACTTACTGTGTCAACCCATATTAAGTCCACCAGATATGAAAAGAGTGGGAAAGTTTTAGAAAACATGAGATGTGCCTGTGTACTATTAAAAAGTAAAAAAACAACAAAAACCATGCAACACACTCTTGGTAAAAAGGAGAGTATTGCTGAACATTGCTACTGGGCAAAAATATAACAAATAACTCTTTGTCAAAAACAATTCCATCTCATCTTTTTTAAATTGGAGATTATATCTTGGTTATCAAAAACAAATATCTAAATATACAGTAATTTTGGGAAATATTAATATTTTAAATTATTTACATATTGTCATTTATGTCAATTATTTGATGTAGATTAAGACTTTAAAATTTTACACCTTCTTTCAGGTAAATGAGTGTTAGACAGGAAATAATAGGTAATTAGAAGATAAAGCAGTGGGCAGAGATGTGTTCACGTTTGGCCCTTGATTCCAATGTCAGCTCATCTGTCCTCTGCCTCAGTGGCCAACTTTGGAAATCATATCCACTCATAGGCTTCGGTTATCACTTCTACATAAGCTGGTACCATTCTCTTACTCATTTCTGATGTGAATCCTAGACCTACATGCCCATCTATCTATTGAGCAGCCACAGATGACTTCCACCAACTTATTTACTATCTCCTTGTAATAAAGCTCTGCTGATCCCCAGAATCTCTCTAAATGTAAGTTCTCTTCAAAATTTAATCACTTTTTAATCAATATTTATTGCGTGCTTACTATGCATCTAGTCTTTTTGTTTGTTGTTGCTTTGTTTTTAGTGAAAAGATAGAGTCGTGAGCAAACAACAGACAAAAATTAGTTCTGGTGGGACTTACCTCTTAATGGCAGGAGACAAAGTAAAAGAACATAAATAAATTAAATATAATATTTCTGAATATTACAATAAGTGCAGTCAAGAAAATAAAGGAGAGAAGAGAGCAAAGACTGTGGGAGGGACTGTGGGATGGGAACACACACATTGCTATGTGGACAAAACCTGAAGGGCACAAAGGAGCAAATCATTTCAATGTTTGTGGGAAAAACATTCCAGGCAGAAGCGTAACTTCAAAGGTCCTAAGGTAGAGACATTCTAGGAAAGTCTGAGAAAAAGGAAATAATGTTATTATGGCTGGAATGGAATGATTAAGGAGTAATTAATAAGAAATGATGTCAAAGAAATGACACAAGCTAGAACTTACAGTGTTGTATGGACGCTTTATGACTTTTACTCTGAGTGACATAGAAAACCATTGGAGATCTTTGAGCAGAGAAGCGACAAGGATTGACATAAGTCTTAAAATGATAATTCTGGCTACACTATTGAGAATGAGCTGTTGGGGAATAAGACTGAAAGAAAGGAGAGAGCTTAAAAATTTTTCAATAAAAAAAGGGGTGAGATTTGAAAGTAAAATTAAGTCAAGAATGATTCAAAGATCTTTAGTTGAGCAACTGGAGGGAGAGAGTTATCACTTACTAAAGTGGAGGAATTGTGGGAAAAGCAGGTTTGGCACGAAGCATCAAAATTTTGGTTTTAAACATGTTAAGTTTGAGAGAAAATTAGATGTACAAGGGGTAAATAGATAGCTGTATACATTAATGTAGGTTTAAGGGAAAAATCAGGTTGGGTATAAAACTTTAGGATCTGTCAGCATGTAGATGACAGATAAAGCTGTGGTCTGAATGAATAGATCAAGCTGTGGAAGGTATGTAGACAAAAGTATTAAAGTCTTATCCCTGGGATGCTAAAATATAAAAATGTAGGAAAGAAGCAGCAAAGAAAAGAGAACAGTAGTTGCTGAGGAAGTGATAGAGAAAAACAGATTCTGGTTAAATGACAACTGGAAATCAACCATTGGATTTAGCAACTTGAAGATCAGTTTTATCCTTAACAATAGAAGTTTTTATGGAAAAGTGGAAGCAAAAGATTCATAGAAATGAGTTCATAAGTAATTGGGTGGAAAGGAGTTAGAGAATGAGTACAGATAACAACCCTTTAGAGGAGTCCTGATTTTTTTCCCCCTAAACAAGCAAAGAAATGGTTCAACAGATGAAATCAAGAATTCCTTTTGGCTGGCGTGGTGATGTAACAGTTAAGTTCATGCACTCTGTTTCAGTGGCCCAGGGTTCGCTGGTTCAGATCCAGGCACAGACCTATGCACCACATATCAAGCCATGCCATGGCAGGCATCTCACATATAAAGTAGAGGAACATGGGCACAGATGTTAGCTCAGGGACAATCTTCCTCAGCAAAAAGAGGAGGATTGGTGGTGGATGTTAGCTCAGGGCTAATCTTCCTCAAAAAAGGGGGGGGGGGGCATGGAAGAATGTTCTTTACAATGTTTAAGAAATTAGATAACACATTAGACCACATGGACTTAACAGATTTATACAGAACATTCCACACAAAGGCAACAGAATAAACACTCCTGTCAAGTGCACAAGGAACATTCTCCAGGATAAATCATAGATTCAGCCACAAAACAAATCTTAATAAGTTTAAGATTGAAACATATCAAGCATTTTTCTGACCACAGTGGTATGAAACTAAAAATCAATTACAAGAAGAAAACTGAAAATTCACAAATATGTGGAATTTAAACAACATGCCACTGAACAACCAACGGATCAATAAATAAATTGAAAGAGAAATTAAAAAATACCTTTAGAAAAATTAAAATGGAACTACAACACACCAAAACTCAGGGGATGCAGCAAAAACAGTTCTAAGAGGAAGGTTCATAATGATATATATTTACCCTGAGAAAAAAGAAAAACCTCAAACCAATAACCTAGCTTTATACTTCAAGGAACTAGAAAAGGAAGAATGAACAAAGCCTAAAGTTAGTAGAAGAAAGGAAATAACAAAGATCAGGGAAGAAATAAATGAAATAGAGAATAAAAAGACAATAGAAAGATCAATAAAACTAAGAGCTGGTTCTTTATAAAAGATAAACAAAATTGACAATCCTTTGACTAGACTCACCAACAAAAAAAGAGAGAGGACTCAAAAAATAAACTCAGAAATGAAAAAGAAGACATGACAGCTGATATCACAGAAATACAAGGATACTACTACAAACAGTTATTTGCCAAAAAATTGGACAACTTGTAAGAAATGGATAAATTTCTACAAACACATAACTTTCCAAGGTTGAATCATGAAGAAATAGAAAATCTGAATGACCATTTCCTAGTAAGGAGATTGAATGATTAATCAAAAACCTCCCAACAAATAAAAATTCAGGACCAGGTGTCTCCATTGGTGAATTCTACCAAGCATTGAAAGAAGAATTAATATTAATCTTTCTCAAGCTCTTCCAAAAATAGGAGGGCACACTTCCAAACTCATTACTCTAATACCAAAGCCAGACAAGGCCAACACGAGAAAAGAAAATTACAGCCCAATATCCCTAATAAACATAGATGCAAAAA